TGAGATCAGCATCAAAATGAGCTTGTCCTTTATCAAGATGTTAAGTAAAGGAGCAATCCAGCTGCAGTTCTAACCCTGGGAGTTGGAGATAGTCACTGGACACTCCATGGAAAACGGCTTTGAGTCAATAAAGGTGATTTATTCAGCTTGCAGAATGTTCTGAAACCACAATATTCAGAGCTATTGCTTTGCAACCTCCACACACATCTACTGCTCATAGTTAGGACCCCTCCAACGTATATAAATAGGGTAACAATTATAGGTCAAAATAGTGCATATAACAGTCGAGCTTTTCAGAGAGAACACACAATTTTTTCTTGTGGTGGGGCCTGATGCTGGTCTCCTGGATGAACTCCCACTGAAGGGAATGGGTGCAGGCCTGACCTACCCCTGTTTTAGCCACTCCAGTAATGCTTTCAGTAATGCCTCATTGTCTTCAAGCTGCTTTGAACCTGACAGCTGATAGGGGTTAGAGAATTACACAGAATATATTTCAGTGGGTAATACTTAATGACTTTTTAACAGAAAGTTCCAAGCATGAATAATTGTATTGGAGCTTAAAGGAAAGTGTGCAGATGTTATATAAATATGAAATGTTCACTGCCTATGTGTATTTGTCTGTATCCAGCCAACTGTGGTGACCAGGAAGAGCTATCACAGGAAGCCATCTGTACAAAGCTAGCCTATCAATGTGCTGCTAGCAGTTGGGGGTCTACAGGAAGTCAGCCATACAGGAAATCGAGCTAGGCCAGCTGCATGTTTCTGTCCCTGACAGTTTTCTCCTCGACATTGTCCATAAATGACACTAGGGAGGAAGTAAGTTGTCAGTTGAAAATCACCACCTATTATTAGCCGTGGAATGCAAAGTACTTTATTACAGAGACCTACATATAGCAGATTTGGGTTTATTTCTTTGAGGGTGTGGTAGACAGGAAGTCCATTTGAAGTAGAAATAATTAGAAAAATAAAGCAATGCCCTTTTCCTGACAGTAGGAATTTCTGTCCACCCTGAAATATATACTTAGTAAATTGGTCAGTTAATTAGAACAGAGAGATAAAAGGCATTTTCTGGGGTGTAAAGGACATAGAAGAGAAGATGTATGATGCAAAGTAGGTAAAGTCTGGCTAGGAGTTCTCCCCCCCTCAATTCAGAGGAAAAGAATAGTACAGAATATACCTAAAATATCCCAATGGTCCTGCTTAATGTCTCCAAAGAAGACAAACTGACCCCTGATCACCTGCTTCTGAACTGAATTAATGTATTTTCTGTGACTAAATAATGGCTATTGCTGCCATTAATTGCTTATTGCACATGGTGGGTAGGAAAACATGACAAAACTATCATGAGCATGGAAATGGTTAAATTGGTAATAACCAAGGTCAGAAAAAAAATACCAGGGAAAATTACCCACTTGGAAATATCCTTCATCTGTCCAGAATACCTGCCATTTAATTCTTGTATTTCTTGTTGTATAAAAGCTTTGGAATATGTTTAGAAAATCCTCAGAACCAGAGTTAATAATAGAAAGAGATATTCTTCTGGAATGAAATTCCTTGTTTACATTTATCTCATATTGAACACACACCCAGAAAATGCATTATATCATTTCATCAAACCAATATAGATGAGGTTATTTTGCCACTCCTAGCACTTATCTTTATATTATTAACACTTCCTATGGAATATAAACTTTAAACTGAATTTCTGCTATACTTAGAATGGAAAAAAAGAGATTACTGCCTCAAAGCTCTTTGTTGCTGTGGATGCTTAACTACTGTCTGCCTCACTTGTGTGCATATATTTTGGGCAAAGGCTCTGGTGTAAAGTATTGGTCTACACTGCACTCTTTTGCTGGTATGGCTGGGGTGTGACCAGGAGCTGTCCCTGATTAACATAACTGATCCTACCACAGACAACACTTATCACAGCACAGGCATACTTTTGTCAGCATAGTGTGTTTCACTCGGGGTGGTGTTGAGATATACCATGCCAACAAATGCAGAGTTAAGCTGTGTCCTTTTGGTATTTTGCTGATATAGCATAGGTATACTGGTAAAGAATTCCTGTTTCAACTTGGCAGAAGTAAGAGACAAGGCAAAGAGGAAACCAAAAAGCAGGAAGGCATTGAAGAAATCTCTGGCTCTAAAATAGAAACTGAAAGTAATGGTGCCCTAATAAACAATAACATTCAATATCTTTCTGCCAAGCAAGGTGTTGCTTTGAAGCAGCATTAATAACACTTCCTGGATGCGGAGTAACACAGCTGTAGAAGCAGGAGAAATTGTGAAATGAACTCAATCAGGGAAGAAATGAGGAAGGAAACAATGTGTTAAATCATTTTATTGTTTAGGTTCACTCTGTTCCATACAGATAGAGAGTTAGACTCAGAGCTGATTACAGTGCAAAGATTTGATTAAAAAAGAGTGAGAGATCTAATAGTGACACATTTCTATCTGTTTCAAAGAGTGCCCAGGTCTTCTATTTCATTCTCACTGTGGGATCACGAATTCCAGACAGTGTTTATCTTCAGATCTTTATGGCTCAAATACTATTTTCAGTGACACTGGTGTAAATCCAGAGCAAATCCACTAGCTTCACACTTTTGATATTTTCAGTGGAGTGACTCCTGATGCATGCCAGTTTAGCTAAGTGCCAGATTTGACAGTAAGTGAATTTTAATTTTTGCAACTAGTTTGTCCATAGCTACTTTCACTTTATTGGAGGTTATCTAGAAATCATCAATAATTTACATCACAATTCAGCCCTATGTACTCCATCAGTCAAGTTTACTGTCAAATGCAGCCCATAGTTTGGAAGTTAATGGACCAAACTTCATTCTTAGTAACACCCCTAGAATGCCATTGAAATGTAGGCACATAGACCATCATTCCTCCTGCAGTTCCTGACAAATCTGAGCATCTCTATACTGCAGTGGAAGATTAAAGCAACATTTCTTTTGTACTACCCAGTAATCTTTATGCTTGGCGGTAAAGTTAATGTACAGGATTGTCATTCACCAACTCATTTCACATAGGCTGCTGAACAGCCTTCACAGCACAATGACATGCAGTTACTACCAGCTTAAAGCAGAGTTGAACTAGTGACCTAGAGATGAAAGAATTACACACCCATTTGTTTCTCAGTTGCAGCGCACTTGAAGTATAAAGAGCAATCACTGAACAGAGAAGAGAATCACCATTATTTTTAAATGGACCACTATAAAGAAAGTAGGATGGCTGATGCTCAAAACCCTAGAATTCTCAAGAACAGCTATTGTCCTGAGAGATGGAAAAAAGGAAAACAGAAGAGAAATGTATATCGGAGAACTCTGTATTTTTGGCATGCACGCTCAATTTAAGAAAAGAAAGAATTCTTAAGGAACCTATTAGTTGCTTCATTTTGGAGGTAGATGAATTAGATTCTGGCTAGCACACAGCTACCAGGTAATACAAAGGAAAGGGTCCTTTAATCTTCTGCAGCAGTACAGTAGTGTCCAGCCTTGTGAGGAGCTGCAGGAGGAATGATGGCCTTGTCACTGACAGCCTTCTAATTGGATGGTAGAGAGGGCCAGGACAGAGTAGCTATAAAAGACATATTTGTGCCAACAAGTGTGGCTGTCATCAAAACATCTATTGAGGAGTGGAGAGGGAAAGTGCAATACCACTGCAATGCTGGGTGAAGTTTCACGTGGCCTGTATTGCAGGGCCAGCAGACAGTATGCTAAGGCCAATGGTGCCTGACTGGAATCAGTAACAACCAGAAAACAGGCGCTATGATGGCTGGATTACTCAGTGAGAGAAGGGACACTGCATCTTGGAAATAAAGCATGGGACTTGCAAGAAGACTAGAAGATAGGAGTCACAAGAACAAGCTGGAAAGGCAGAGATTATGTACTTAACAGTGTAACACATTATTTTCCTGACTCCTTCAATCAGTCAGAGAAAGACTATGTCATATAAGTATCTCCGCACACAACACACCACAGCTGCACCACTGGGGTAATTAAATCCAATAGATCAACTGGAAGGCTTGCATGGACTGTTGCTTGTCCACAGACTCAGTCTGAGGACCAGTGGCAGGCAGGCAGAAGCTTCTCAGCTAAAATAGGGAAAATGAGAAAAAGAATCTGGAAGCACTGAAGGGATGCTAAATCAATGCCTATTTCAGACTGAGGTGGAACACATGTTCCTGAGGTACATGGTGAACTGAAGTTAGCTGAGACCTCTTTGGTCCAGATTCTGCTTAGTTACTCTAGGAGTGAAGGGGGTGAGGATGAGAACACAATGTAGCCTGCAGTGTTCAGACCCCATGGTTGCTATGTCTGATTTAAACATGGGCAGGAAATGAAATACTTGCTGCCTGTAGTATCTCTAATACTAGCTGCATAACCCGCATCAGCCTTAAAAGTGCCTCTTTCATAACTGCATCATGCTAATCAGATTTTCTGGTGGTGTAGAGTCCACTCAGACCATCCATGAATAAGAACTTGAAGACAGATGCAAACACCTGTTGGAGCTCATGAGTGGATCAGAAAGTATTTAGTAACCCTACAGGAGAGTCTCAAGGCCCCCCAGCTCTTCTACTCATTTTTGGCATACACTGACTTTTCTATTTCCTGGCAGAGCAGAGAGATGACACCAACAGCTGTAGAGGCCCTCTTGAGATGAAACAGGTGTTATTAAGTGGCAATTAGTGCAAAAAGCAGGGAAGTAGATTAACAGGGACTTGCCAAGAGCTAAATCTCCTCTTGGTTACACTCTGCAACCCCTGTGAAGTCAATGGCATTGCACTGGTGTAACTGAAAGGAGAATTTTAGTCCTTTATATACAAGTCTGCCAGGATTGTATTCTCTATAGAGTTGTCAGAAGTGATGAATTCTCTGACAGATGGAGCAGTTAGAGAGGACCATTGTAAATAACGAGAAGATGTAATAACAGCATGAAGAAATAAAGGTTATACTGCAGCCAGCTTTCAGACTTCACATTAAAATGACGCCTACCTGCAGAGCTGTGTGTACTGAGAGAAAGCCAGGCAATTCATAGCCACTGCATTTAAGGGTGGCAAGTGATCCGGTCAATGGTGAAGTGCAGTGTGGTTACTAATGTCCACAGTAACTGGAAATTTACCCATCCAATTTGCTTCTCTATCCCAGCCACAAAGGGAGATGACTCCAATTATTTTTCAGACAGAACTGAAGCTGGTGTTTACCATTATCTCCCTGGTAACCCCCCTTTGCGTGACAACATTATGCAATGTAATTGCAAAGCTGCCTCAGCTCACTGGGGCTGTTATTAAATGCACTCAGATTTTTTTTCCCAAGGTCAAGGATAATAATTAGGTGACTGGTATGCCTGCGACACAACCTTGTTATGTACAAAAAAATAACTTAAAGGATGCATCAGACATTCCCAAGTGAGGAGATTTCTGTCCTGTTAAGAAGTGTTAGAAGATCAGTTGAAAATAGGCTGGTGGAATAATATGTGTTAGTGAAGATAAAGAGCTGCAGTGCAGTAGCCTAAGAATAAAGCTGCAACAGGCACACAGCATAATGGGGTGTTCAGTGGGTGGTGGGTGAATTGATAGAGGGAACATAGAAAGTGAATAATGGGGTCTGAAAAATTAAAGGGCCATGCGGATGCTGAGCTCTAGGATCTGAATCTGAAGGAATTAACTTGGCTCCTCTCTGCTGTTTGTTTGAGTTGCCCTAGTGACCTACTGGTAACACACTCAGGATGCTCACCTATGTTACTGTCCATAATAATAGTAGTAGTGATAGTAGTTGTAGTAGTAGTAGTAATAATGAGGCTTTGCATAGCAATTTTCATCAGTACATCTCAAAGTGCTTTGCAAAGGCAATCACTATCATAACCCTGTTTTATAGATGGGGAAACCGAGGCACAGAGAAGTGAAATGACTTGCCCAAGATCATCCATCAGACCTGTGGCAGAGCTGGGAATAGAATGTAGGTCTCTTGTCAGCTATTGTCTATCTGCTACATGACTTTGTCTCTTTAATGACACTAGGATGAATGTACATACATATCTGGTGATACCAGGAGTAGCGCTTCTAACTAGCGTCTAGAAGGGCACTAAGAGCTGATGAGTAATTAACAGTAAGAATAAAAATGGTATATGAGGTTCCAGCAATGTTTCTGTGAGTTTCAGGTGATGACAGTGTTATTGTGAATATTACCATGTGATGCCAGTGTTAATGCAACTACCTGCTAATGTCAAGGTTGTTACGTCTACCAGGTGACTCTATCTACTAACTGATGTACTGGATACTATGTGTACTAACTAGTGCCAGGGATATGCTTGTAAATCTGCTTTTTAACAAAGATCCTGGCAAGGAGTCATGTAAAGTCACCTAGGCTGTGTGAACTCTAGGCTCACCTGGGCCTAGAGTGAGTGAGGATTTAGTTAGGGAGCTTCTGGAGGGGCTGGACATTTTTAAGTCAGCCGGCCCGGATGATCTTCACCCTAGAGTCCTAAAGGAACTCGCTGGGGTCATTGCAAGTCCCCTGGCACGGCTTTATGAACACTCGTGGTGCTCTGGAGAGGTGCCGGAGGACTGGAAGAGGGCCAACGTGGTTCCCATCTTCAAAAAGGGAAGGAAAGAGGACCCGGGGAACTACAGGCCAGTCAGCCTTACCTCGATCCTGGGCAAGCTGTTCGAGAAAATTATTCTGGCACACATCCAGGAGGGGCCAGCAGGGAACTGCATGCTCAGGGGCAACC